GGAAATTGCACAAAATTTTAATAGTATCTCAGGTAAGGGCTATTTTCCTTTAATTTAAGGCCTCTAAAAATTTGAAAAAGCCTCTTCACAATTCCAGCAGGCCAGCTTCATAACATCAACAATTAAAAGTACCTTTACCTCACAAAAACTATATCACATTAAAAAATCTGGGACAGTCACCACTTACCAAAAGGCATTTCAAGTTCATGTTGAAGTATTGTTTTTAGCAAATAAAGGAGACAGCAATCTGATTTGTTAATTGTTTTTGCCAATATTGTGTATCATCTTTAATAATGTCAATGTAGTAAACACAAATGCTTGTAATCAGACATGCCCTTGACAAAATTACTTTGACCTACATCATGAACAAATTTGTTGACAAACAAGGCAAAAATGCAACCACTAGAAAGTTGACAAAAATGGAGAACAACTGGAAATTCAACTTTCCTAATAGCTTATTCTGTGTCAACATTAAGCCTTCCTTTATTTTTTATTTATCAGTTTAGAAATGTATGATTACCTTTTGTGGAGGAGAGAACTGAAACAGGCCTCACTGATGGATCCCCCGCCAACAACTCGTCCATCGCCTCGAAAAACTCCCATTTTCGTCTACCTCTTCCACTCTTCTCATTGGCATCAACAATCGTCTTGTACCTGATAATGAATAATTGAACAAATAATGTTAGTTAACAACTAAAGACACATTCTATCAAATTAGAACTCTTTACAGTGCATGTGCATTGTAAATTACCACTGCTGCTTTCCATTCATAGTCTGACTAAAATTAAAACCTTTAGAAGAAACAGGTAACATTCCCTTTGACACTAGAATTAATATAGGACTGTTTCTCATTATAGAGACAGATTGACTTTAAGTGAATAATCAAATCAAAGTATTTCGTACCATACCATTATGAGGCAACGAACTGTAAAAGAATAATATATATTAATGTTGTTGGTGTATGGATCCCATAATATTGATGTGGTATATAAACTCTTAGTTAAGGAACTACAAGGCATTGTAATCCTTTGCACCATCATTTAATAAAAAGGCTGTCTATTTGGTAACTTTTCTTTCACAGGCTTTTAAGATTTCCACAGACGCGACATAAGTAAGACTAATTTATTAATTAAGACCCCTTGTGAAACAATGCATCTACATACCTGTACTTCAATGATCTGAACTTCTTGTCGCATTGTAAACCAGTAAACCTATAACCTTTTGTAGCCATCTCTTCTGCTATTCTCCTCCAAACCTGAAAGGCTTTGTAAGCAGAGCTGCTAAACATATCCTGATGATCTGCATACAGTGATATTAATAGCATCACCTCTTCATGTCTCCAGTTTACAGCTGAAAAAAATATCATAGATATTAATAATTCCACATGTAAGACAATGCTTTTCAAAAGTATGTCAACTTCAGTCCAAACTGTAACCCTTACCCTGAAACTGGAAGCCTTATAAAATCAATATAATGAAACAGATTTTGGTTAAAAATTCCTGATCACTGTTTTTTGTTTCATTTAAAATTAGAAAGAATATCAAAACAAACGATAATGAAAATGAAAACATAACAAATACAATACTGATATTTAATTCATTAAGCATGTTGCATTTGTCCTTATTGTTTTCGGCAGAGGGAAACGATATGGATATCCACCGCAAGCTTTGATGAATTCTGTTTTTCGGGCGAGTGACCCTCCAAATTTATTCCCCTTTCATAAAATGCACCCCCTGCATTTTGGCGGACAAACTTGTAAAAACCAAAAGGGAAGACCTTGTTTGTGTTATTCATGCAAAGTTAATAAATGTGTAATTGTACAGTAATAACATAAAAAGAGAATTAACTTACTGTCTGAAGTGTGAATGTTAAACTCTGACTGGCTAATATTCTCTTTAGACTGACCTAAAAAAAAAAGATAATTGTTTAGTAAAGAAAGTACTTCATCCCATGTCCAAAACTTCTTAACATGGTAGCAAACCAAGAGAAAAATTAAAGGGACTCCACTGAGGTTTTTTGACATGACTGGACTGGAAGCAATTGTTTAAGATTATTACGCTATTTGATGTAGATCTATACTAATAACTTATGTGCAGAATATCAGATCATTAGCTCGCTCCATTTTTCCAGAATAATTATTATAAAAAGTGAAAAATGACCCAAAATTGAAAAGCGTTTAAACGCTTTTCACTCGAATCGGACTGAGCATAGCAATAAGATATGATTTTCAATGTATGTCTTATATATTTCTTGGTTATATTTTATTTATATTTCTGTTTTAAGTGCTCACGTTTATTTATGTGAAAAATTAAAATTTTATGATTTTAGGCTTATAAACCTCAGTGGAGTTCCTTTAAGACAATAACATGGAGACAAGTATTCTTAATATTTCTCTGCGGAGCATAGGTTCTAAAACCAAACAGTGACAAACTTTTTTTCTTCTACGAATACAGCCAATCATGGTACTGTATGGTATGCATGACACAATTTCGATAGTGTCAAATAAAGCTTAAAGCTTCTTACACGATCACACTTTAAGTAATTCTGTACTCTAAAGACGCAAGTTAGCACCCAATAGAACCATCAATATTATGTGAGCTAGCTTGATCCCAGCTTCCTTGCATGAAAGTATCTTCAGTCCCTGGCAGTATATGAACCACAGCGGTTAGAAACATTCACCACTTTCTTTTTACATAAGGTATGCAAAATTTCAGCCTGATCAGAAATACTTTAAAAAATCTTAACTTACTGTCACTGTCTGATGTGTTAACGTCCAACTCTGGCTGGTGAGCTGTGTTAACTTCTAACTCTGGCTGGTGAGCTGTGTTAACTTCTAACTCTGGCTGATGCACAGTTTTTTTGGATTGAATAACATCACCTTGAAAAAGAAAAATTTTTATGTATAGAGACTAGAGCATGCTGCACTTTTGTCAATAGTAAGCAGCCTTGACAAAGTTTCATATAAATATACAAGCCTGTGGTAACATTTTATCTTTTGAGGACATTTTCTTTCAAAAACGCCCAAACTACAATGTGTGGGGTAGTGTAGCTTGAAAGTGTCTTGCAGACTTTCTTCAGACACAATCCAGACAATTTACATTTAAACAAACAGATATATATTAATATATGCTTAACTTAAATGACTTCCTTGGAAGTAAAATGCTAAAGTATGCAGGAGTTTAAATGGAAGATGAGTTCCAAGGGAAATTATAAAAAACTTCAGCTTAATATTCATTTTGAACCTGTAAATAATGTTGCCCGTTACCAGAATACTGTTCAAACTGGCAATATGTTATATGATGGACATATATCACGATTCTTACCTTCAGCTTGCGCTTGTATCTCATTGTAATTCTTCACAATTTCATCAATGACAGACTGATCTGAAAATAAGAAAAGGACAAAAATTATATTCAGATTTTTACACCTGTTTTTCTTTATACCAAATTACTTTTAACAAACGAGTGAAACATGTTCCTTTAAGGTTGAACAGCAGTTCAAAATACAACCATTCATGTATGTCACAATTAATTTCAAGGCAAGGCCTCCTACTTAATCTAATAATTTAACTTTGACTCAACTTCACTTATGTCAATCTGTAATATTTAGTAAAAATTATCAGACATGTTTATGTAATAGCCTGTAGTGGATACAAGAAACTTCCATGCCTTGCTTAAAAACTGGGATTCTTAAATAGAAAACTTGGCCAAATTATACAGAAGACCTAATGTTATTATACAAAAGTTTCCAAGTTACCATTAAAGTGAATAAAGCTATATATCTGATGCAAAAATTATTGTTTGGATTTTTAAAATGTATATTTGCAAAAATGCTTGTATTAAATAAATATGGTAAGTTATTTTTCTTGAAAGCGAATGGTGCATGCATAAAATCATTGCTAGACAGATAAAACATTACTTAATGAGCGGTTTAGGAAATACTAAAATAGTTGGCGAGTTTAAGGGGTCTTCAGATGCACTACTTCTGTAAATCACTAAATGACAGTCCCGAGACCAAACTTGTGCCACGGACACTGAGAACCTATGAGTGAAAAACATTGATGTCCCTGACATGTGCAACATATCATGAATATGGCATAAATCTAAACAGAAATATATCTATATGTATTATACATATAATATTTTACCATTTTCTTCTACAGCAGATCTGTAAGTTGGCAAATCGACAGTCACTGTTGCAGTTTTTCCATCTGGGAATGTTAAAGTTAAATCCCTCAAATAACCATTGCTGACCATATTGTAGCTAAAACAATAAAAACAAAGATTATTGTCATTGATCCATATAGGAAGAAAGCCTTTTTCAAACAGTATTTCAGTTATATCGACGGGTAGTTTCCTAACCATCAATCCTAGAGTTACACCAGTACTAGACTACCTTCCTCCGCGCTAAACTACCACAGCATCTCCGGGGATCTAACCCCTGCCAGAGAATTAACTGGATTAGAAGTCATTGACTCAAATCCCTAGACCATGGAGGCAGTTTGCAGTGTTGGTAAAGGGTCAACTCAGCCCTATACTAACACAGCATTGATTAACTCAGTCCTATAATAAAAAACTTAAAGCATGGGCCGACTCTCGGAGGATATAATAATTCAGAAATGCTATCACTAACAAATAGAAATCGAAAAAGTCAGCAGTACATACTTAACAGAAATCCTCTTTAGACCGAGTGTCGAGTAATAATGAATGAACAAATAACTGGAAGTCTCAAGCGATATATACTTAGTACTTCGTAGCTTTAAGATTTCCTTGAAATAAAGCTTATAAAGTTTGTTTCTTTCTTTTCCAATTTTTACTGTTACAAGAGGCGTGAATTTATTAAAGGGAAATCACGGTGTATGTACTTATTAACAGCTGTGCTGCACAGTACACTACCGTACATAAACATACTGCATGTAACAATGTCTATAATCCTATATATATTCAGTTAGAGAACTAGAAAAATACATCATCTCTGCACATTATTGGAAATGGAAGGTAGTTCCATCATCCAAGACTTCTGCACAAGTTTACACCCCTACTCTACATTTGACAACTTGGGAATTTAGCCAAGTGATTCAACATATCCCACTCCAGTCATTTTTTTCCTAGCCAAATGTTTTAGCTGTATGTGAATCATGTACGTCTAGCCTACACACTGTTGAGGCTAGCGCTACAGCATATTTTCAATACCAAACAAATGCAATAATGAAGCCAGTAACTTGCACAAAGAATGATAATATATATTAAATCTAAATAAATAGAGTAGATCTATCACAAATGAATTCACCTTAAATATAGCTTTTTCGTACGCCAGTGTAAATTATGTGTTAAGTTTGTGATTGACCCAGCGTGCTTATGCAATCAGGGAAACAGCTGCATTGCATCAATAAACAGTGATTAAAGGAATTTTCAATGGCCACCATAAAAAATCATTACAATAGTATTACATCTATATCGTCCATGAAAATGTTCAGTTTATTTTTGTTTATTTCTCTTCCTATCAGTACAGCTAACCACTTGCTTTAGTAATTCAATTGACTGAAAGACGTCCCTCTTTTTGCATAGTTTGCCTCTGATTTTTACAATGCATTTTAATTTGAATTGAAAATTTGTTAATGTGTTGTTAAATTCCATACGCAGTTGTTGTAATTTTATTTCAGTTTTTCCTCTTTTAATTATAATTTTATTGTTTAGGTTGTGTTTTTTTTTTTCCTAAAGAAAATCACTGAAAACAATTTAAAAAAAAAACCCTAAACAAGCTCGATCGACGGCAGACTTAATAATAAATAATTTTAGTTACATAACACAACTAAATTAAAAATAGCAATGAGAAAATATTACCAAATGTAAATGTTTTCGACTTTTAACTTTTTAAAAATTGATCGTGAGCTATTCTTACCTTGTTTTCCGCGGACATAATAATAGCTAGAGCTCCCACGTCATTTTTATCACAGTAGACCAAAGACTGTTAACTTGATAATTGATTTCCAAGCATGTACTCACAAAAAAATTTGCATAAATTAACAAAAAAATAAAAAATGTAAAATAAATTGAACACAATATTTACCTGTCCGCCATTTTGGTTTGTCAAGCGAGCTATGTCACAAAAGCGTTCGCGATTGGCTAAGAACGCTCGTGGCGGGCATATCGTTCACTAACGAGAACTCTCGTGTAGTTCGCGAACGTTGGCGAACGTTTTCGGTAATGAACGCACGGCTGGTTTCCGTCGCATTGCGGCGCTTCTTGTATTTTTATAAAATGTATAAGAAAAATAAACTGGAAAATGATGAAATAAGTTAAAACACAATGGATTTAATGAAAGGCATTATATTTAATTTCACGATAAATAATTTTCTTAGAGTTTCTTTGTTATGTTTCGATATCAAAAGGTCAATGTCTTTTTAGTATGTAGGTGCGACACGAAACACAAGTTGACATGAAATACGTGTGCGACAGTAATTCATTGTTACCGGTTATGTTTAATAAAGGTTTCAAAGATTCAAAGTTTTATTTCAGAAATATCCTGAATGCCAAAAGCCCATGAGGACAACATTTTATACAGTGTACATGTTGAAAACTATTACTACATTTTAACTTCTTGTTATAATCTTGTATCTTTCTAAGTCACATAGTAAAAGTATATCTAACATGATCTAATTTTATAATACTGATTATGACATACTCTATCCATTTGCATTACTTCATCTTACAGTGTGCTATTGAGTGCACAAATTAGTAACACCAGTAACTAGAACTTCATGACCTAATAAGAATATGCAAAAGAACGAAAAAAAAAAATAAAATAAAATAAACTATATGTGACATATCACAATGTCATATATCATTTATATTTTTCATTGTGTCTGATGTTTACACAATGTTTTTTTTTTTTTTCAGAAAAAAGTGTAACAGTGTTACATAATAAGATGGATGTTATTTTTTAACACTTAACAATATTCAGAGAAATTTTCAGATAACATACATATAATGACAATGTTACTTTATAATTTAATGAAATATTAGACATTATATGGCAAAAAATGAGTCTCTCGGACCCAAGACACAAGCTAAACTTGTCTGTCTTACATGCAAGAGAAAAGCACATTTTGTACGCCGCACCAGCTGTTATATTTACACTTTTGTCTAGACAACTCGTGTAAATATCGCATCCAGCGCTACCGCACACAACCCACCCCAATCCAACAAATAATAAGACATACAAATATCTTTATGTATTATGATAAATACATCTACATATATATAATGCCTGTTTCAGGTATGTTTCATAAATGCTATTACTTATTGAAATAACTTGTTGACATAACAAGTATGCATATTGATATTGCACTAAAGAACATATATAATTAACAAACATTTTTGTATGTCCATTTTTTAAATATATATTGTACACATCACGTGTATATAGTAAGACGGACAAATATCTTTTATAAGCCTTAGGTTAATGCATCATCATTTATATAATGCCTGTTATGAGCAAAGTTTTATTTATTCTAATTGTAATATCAAATTGTCATAACAAGTATGCATACATATATATATATATTTTTTTATGTTTCATAAAACATATCTGATTAAACTTATTTTTCTTTATTTAATGTTATACACACTACTAAAGTGTAAACGTTCAACATTTGTTTTACTTATCATTGTAGATTAATAATTCTAACTTACCCTATATCAATCTATTACTGTCTATATACACGCAACGCTATCAAAAGCTCTACTTTTCTTAGCATTGTATATTAGCCTCAATATTATTACTGCATGTATATAAATAAGCAGAACGAATCATAAATGCCTTGTGTACATACACACTTAACTTTGTCAATAAAACTCCATTATCAGATGTAATTAGTTGGATAAATTTATACATATTTGGTCTATATCTATAAAACCTAGGAATATAAATGTATCTTATATCTGTATATACTTGGCACTGTAACACAAAATGAAATTCATGTTCTAACACTTGGCATATACTACATTTTCGCTGCTCTAAAGGAAAAGAAAGACAATACAACAAAATTTATGATGTATGACAATATACAGCTTGAATTCGTTATTCCTTGCATTATATGTTTATATCAATATTGACAAAAAGGAGTGTCGATAACTCTTATATAATAGGAAACTTTTTTTAAAGATATTTTTAGTTCCTCGTGAATTTCTTTCACACAATACTATTAAAGTACATTTCGTTTTTAACACATTCGCTCTCAGCCGGTTAAGTTAGAAACAACACAGTCGTGATAAATGTGGACTGAAAGAAAATCAAATATGTAAATATAAAAATGACCGGAAATTGTCAAAAATGCAAAAATGTAGCAAATTGAATTCAGAGTTTTAATACTATTCAATCTTTCCATTGACTGCTAAAATCAAATACAATCAATTGTTCAACAGTTATAAGTTTAACTTAAAATTGTACAAAATATTAAATAAATCACAAGTTTTTTAACAGGAATATGAACATGTTCTCTGAAAGTAAAACCATACAGACATATAAAAATTATTGCACAATTGCAGATTTGAAATCGAATTCTTAACATGAACTCTTCATAATCTGAATTCTCTAACCACTACGCTACTCAGATATACGTGTCCATACCCACTCTTATTTTCTATATTACAATAAAAATGCAAAATGTAATTATAACTGAATAACTTGAACAACCCATAATGTAATAATGGTACGAGCGATTAATGTAAATGTTATAGTGTTCGACTTGTAAGTCTGGTGTAATAATATATTATTATTAAGAAAAAAAGACAATTTGTGAAACGGAATCTCGAACTTTAGACGCAAGGAATCTCGACTACTTTACCAAGTTCACTACCCTGACATTTAGCATTAAGGTTCAAATGTACTGTTACATTCATTCGATGGTTGAAGGCTTTTGTGTACACATAAATAAATTGAATCGTCACTCTCCCACTATAGACATACAGTACATATTTACAAACTTTTGTTACATATAAAGTATTTGCCAACAACATTGACCTGGAACTCTTGCATTTGACCCTGTAGTCGGAAAATTCCGTAAACGTAACAATCTACTTGTATAAAAATCAAATTGTTAAAATTGTGTAAAGTAAAAATCCCTCTTAGCGTATTTGGTAAAGGGGTTTCATTTGAAGGATGTAGCTAGTAGGATCGAATCCTGTTTCAGCGATTTTTTTTTTTAATTTTAATTTAAAAATTGCCATTCTCTTAGAATTATTGCAAACCTTTTTGTTGTGTGTACTATCTATGTTGTATTTTAATAACTGCTTTTATAATTTGTATGCGCTAAAGCATGTACGACTGCATACTTTCACAAAGGATACTGTAATTACAAAAGAACTATAATTGTGTATAAAAACACCACTTAAAAGATATTCTGAAACCAGGTGTAGTAAAACGTTTTCAAATTAATTCTTGCAAGTTAATTTTAAAAACGTCATAACGTGGTGTTGGTAATGAATCGAACCCGAGACCTTCAGATAGGTAGTCCTATATCTATACCAATACACGACACCTCACTGGCGAGTGAAGTTAGCAATATGTCAATATATTCGATAAATACGGGTCTGTGTTTATTAAAATGATCTTTACGAAAGTGTATGAAGTGCCATGTCAATATTGTTGGTCAAAATACTATCTAGTCTGATTTTATTGACCTGTCAATTAAAAATACATTATAGCACTCATTTAACTGTCTGATTCCACCTCGGGTTTCTTCATCTAGCTTACGAGAATAAATATGGAGTATATAACTAATGTTGTGAAGGTCAGACCAGCTTAATGTAAAGGTCGTCGTTTTATCAGCAATAGCACAGCCCGTTGAGTGATTACCTGGTACGTGAGAGTTATGTGGTTCGATTCCTACTTTTGCTTTTGTTTAAGACCTACTTTTTCTTTACCTGTGCAGCATATTTTTAATGAAAATGGCCGAGTGCTTTTATAATTGTCTACACGGGTATTAAGCAACTTAGAAACACTGTTTGTCTCGATTTGTGTTTTACGGCATTAAAATGACATCTACTAATTTGATCTGATTGAATTTTAGATATTATTTCTGAAACTATATTTTTTAAATAAAGAACTTACTTTACAAAACTTACCGCAAAACAGATTAAAACAAAATGAACAGCATAAAAAGAAAACAATCATACCTTCAATAACGTTGAATAACCATTGACCTACGAGGTCTCGAACTTACAACACATAGGGTACTTAAAAATTATAATCCCCTAGTTTACCCTATTGCGCTCTAACGCTCAGTACAATTGCTTCACAATCACATCTTATAGCGTGCATTTCACGGAACTTTCCGAAAATCTATCAATTTTGTGTGCATTGACCGTATAATCAGTATGCAATTGACAGGTTAATAAAATCAAATAATTATGAAAGGGAAAGAACTTCTAAAATATCTGTTATGTAAAATTAAACTATTCACTACTCGGTTTCTGTTATGCAAGAGGTTCTCATCGATTGTTCTTTATCTTTTTGATATGTTTTACTGGTAATATGAAATTGTGTAATACAACAATTCTTAAAACGTCATCTACGAAATGATTACGCAACACTTCGTCTTGTTTATAATTAGATTAATACCTTTTTTCATGATAGTAAGTGCAAGTGTTCACTCAATCAATTCTTTTGATTCAAAATCTAATTTAATATAAAGTATAATAATAGAATTCCTCTTTTTTACTAAACACATTTTTTTCTTCTTTCCTTATGTAAATAGCTAGAAATGTTCATGTTTTACTTTTTTGTATACTTTTATTTTTGACAATTTGGGGATTATTTGGATCCAGCGCTTGTGGTGTTGTTTTAAAACGGGATTGTGTTCGTCTGTCCGTAATTGTTTCTCTTTTTGTAAAAAAAAAACGATCGTCATCGGTCATGATTTTTTTAATTTTGTTTAATATGATTACTTTATATAAGATATATTAACCATTTTGGCATTTCGAAAGTTTTCGAAAATGTTAAAATTTAACAGTTAAGTTAATTTGTTGTTAATGTAAAAAAAA